CGAGCAGAAATACGTGGAGTTGCCGGGGGTTCACGGGGAGGCCGCCAAGCGAGTGTTGGCGAGCATCAAGGCGGAGGTAGATGAGCAGCGACTTGGCAGTGAAGAAGCCGACATGGCCGACGATGAGAGCGGAGCCTTGCACGCAAAGGGCCGTCGCTTCTTCCCTTCAAAAATTCGGTGAGATTGGCTTATGGCCTGAGGGCTCACGTGCGCTGGCGGAAGCACAAGGTTGGGAACGCCGAAGACAAGGACATAGACCCTGATGGTGAGGAATCTTTCAAGCCGTACTTGTCCGGCGTCGGGGGGGAGCGCGGCGTCGGGGCCCCGCCGTGGATCGCGCGCGACCAGTTCAAGGAGTATTTCCACATGTGGGGCCAGGGCAAGTTCGTTCTGAGGACCCCCAGGGAGACGAAGGAAAAGCTGATCTTCGGCCAGCTAAAGCGCGTGAACACAGCCCGCGGGTCTGTCACCATGGGTCTGCTGTTCCCCCACCATGGGCGCCCTCGGGGCGCGCCTGCCACTGGCCAAGATCGCGAACGAGAAGAAGGACACCATTGAGAGACAGTTCGGCTCCCTCGTCGCAGTGGGCGTCAACGGCGCTGGTAGCATTCGATGCGAAACGCACGTTGACTGGCGCCTGCCCTCCGTGCGCAGCCCCGCAGTGACCCGGGCAAGGCGGCTGCAGAGGCTTCCGCGCGACGCGCCGTCGATCGTGGTCGAGGACTGGGCCCCGGGGCATTTGGCCGACGCGGACTCGCTGCTCAAGATTGTCGACCCGGAGAGGGCCGCGGGGTGGAAGGAGAAGCGAATCGCAGCGTTGCAGGAGTTGCGCACGCCCCTGGCCATCATTCCTCGGAAGGGCACGCCGCGCCTGATGCAGAACGACCACCTTCGCCAAATGGCGCGCGCCGAGGTCAAGGAGGAACTGCGGGGGATGACTGGCGAGCAGCGGGGCAGCGGAGCGCGCGCGCCGACGCGCCCGCGCGGCCGCCTCGCGGAGATGGGCAAGAGGCGCGCGAATAGCGCCGCGAACGCGGGCCGCGATTCTACCCAGATGACCGCGCGGTTGCGCGAGCAGGGCAAGAAGTCGCAGGAGACCTGGGCGCCGCAGACGGGCGCGCGTCTTCAGCGGGCTATCGGCGGGCACGTCTCTGACGACGACGCCGACCCGGCTGCCGACGCGGCGTGCCAGGCCGAAGCCTCGGTGATCAAGGCGAACAAGCTCAGCAGGGCGATCCCGATGGCCTGGGCGCCACTTCTCGCGCATGTTCGCGCCGCGTGCTAGGCGGGAGCCGAGCGGGCGGAAGCGGCGGGCCGCCGTTTGCGACAGAAGAGATTCGACCAGATGCCGTCGCAGGGCCAGGGTGGCCCCGACGGCGGCGCCGCGGGCTCTGGGAGCTTGGGCGCCGCGGCAAGCTCGGCGCGCCCGCCGGCCGGCACGGCGCTGGCAGCGCCGCGCCTGCTGCGGCAGCTGCGGCGGCGCCTGCCGCGCCCGCAGGCTCGGGCGCCGCGGCCAGCTCGGCGGGCCCGCCGTCCGCGGGCTTCGCCGCGGCTGCTGGCGCGGCGCCAGCGGCGCCGGCGCCGGCCGCGGCGGCGGCGGCGGCCGCGCCTGCCGCGTCCGCGACGGTGAAGACGCTGCCGCAGCCGCGCGCGTGGCTTGGGGCCATCGCGAAGACCCCGAGAAAGTCCGCCGACGACAGCGATTTCAAGGATTGGGCCGCCAAGGAGTTGAAGGGCGCTAAGATTTTGGACGCGCGGCGTCTGCGAACAGGGCCACGAGGAGAGCTTCGACAACTTCTTGCGGGATACGCTCGACATGTTCAAGCGCGCCGCAGCAGGACAAGGCGACGCCCCGCGGCATCGCGCCGACTTGCCCGCCATCGTCGGCGGCGGGAGAGGCAGGGGGCGCGGCCGCGGCTAGGCGGGTAGGGCCGCATGCCGCCGCGCAGCCCGAGGCGCAGCCTGCCGCGGGGCGGGGGGGGCAGCTTTGCCATTCCAGCTCCGCATCTCGCCGCCCCCTGGCGACGGCCCGCGGGGGGGGGCCTTGATTGGGCAAGGCTGCCTAGTTCGAGTCCCGGAAGGGGTTCCAGCCCAGGGTTTTCTTTTAGTATTGTTACTCCCAGTTTCGACTTGACGGAGGCCAGCTGCATTATTTTGCGATGAGTGACAAGTTTGACGGATGCTGGCGGAATTTGTCTGAGGACGTCTCAGGCGAAACGCTTGTTCTTCATATTTTGTTGAGGATGTCTCGAACGAAGCGCTGGTTTTGCAGCGGCGAGGGGTTCTTTCTCCGGGAAGTGGGTACCGGGAAAAGAGTTCGTTCTCCGGGTGTACTACCGAATCCTTCCAGATTCATAGGGATCCTTCGGAAAAAGGGTTCGTTCTCCGGGCGAGACCTCATCGAGGATCCTCACACTTCTGTCCAAACTGGCTTTCGCAAATCGCAATGCGCTGCCCCTGAGGCGTCGCTGAGATTTCTTTTCAGTCTGGCTTCATTCGCCCGGAGAAGGAACCTTTCTTGGTAAATGAATAGTTGTCCGAGCGTAATTAACATTCTTTTGTTCGTAGCTTGTCGTATGTAGTATGTAGTAAGAAGCTAGTAGCTAGTAGCCCGGAGAAGCAATTAAGAACCCCCCCCTCTCCGGCGAAAGTATAACGCACCGGGCACCCGAGAAACGTTACCTTGGCACCTCGCACCTTTATGTGAACGCAGACGAGTCCGTTCGCCGAAACAAGCACACCGCCCGAGACGTTATCGCAATAGTTTGGCTCTCGTTCGCAATTACGGATCAAGCCGAGGGCCAAGGCCTCAGTGAAGAGGCCTGGGCCCAGCTAGACAGAAAGAAAACCTCCTCCTCCTCTTCCTCCTCCTCCTCTTCCTCCTCCTCTTCCTCCTCCTCCTCCTCTTCAAGACTCCCTTACGGCACGGCACCAACATGAACAACGACAATAATGCAATAACAACACCAACAACAATATGAACATCAAAAACACCAAAAACACCGCCAACACCAACAATGACAACATTAAACCCATTCCAGGGGAGCCCAGCCCTGATAAGGAACCGCCCGTGCCTACGAGGGGGGCGATTAATTTTGGCGGCGCGGGCGCTCAGATAACGCGCCGTGTGTGGCGAGGGCGATATCTTCGGATGCACTACCCCACACGATGGCCGGGAAAAACCAATGTTTCAACGAGGGGGTTCATACAAATCGTATAGGACAAGGATGATGAAGGTAATGACACCGAGCTCCTTCTTTTATTTTTGTTCTTAGTATTCGTAGTATTATTCTTACTTCTATTCTAAGTATAATGATTAGTCTTGGCAGTTGTTTTATGTTCGTCGTCTGATTGTTTATGATTACCAGCAGTATCCTTATTACATGCTGATTATTATTCATATTGTTATTCTTATTCGTACTCTTAGCACTACTGTTGTTAATGTTAGTATTACTCTCACTCTGCTCCGTATTATGACTTATGACTATTATTATTATGTTTGTCATTACCATCATTAGTCTTCTTATTCTTTGAATTGTTACTAAGCGTTAATGTTTTTTATGTGTAGCCTTATAATGGCAAGTTTTAGTCTTACGATCCGCATCAGTATGATGAGTATGATTGTTCGTCCTCTCATTGCTTTTTTATTCCTACACGTAGTAATATTATTATTCTGATTATGCTCAGTATTACTGCTCTTAGTTTCTTTATTAGTATTCGTACTGCCCTTATTATTCTTGTTATTTCTACTGTTGTTGTTTATTCGTATGCGTAGTCTTATCATTAGTTGTAATATCATTATGATGATGGGTCTTATTGTGCTTCGTGTCTGCGGGTGCGGTGCTAAAATAACGCGCCATTATTTTGTGCGGGCGCGGTGCTAAGATAACGCGCCGTGCGTGGCGGGGGCGATATCCTCGGATGCACGACCCACCACGACGGGCGGGAAAAAACAATTTGTCAACAGGGCTGGTAATACAAATCGTATAGGACAAGGATCATGGAGAAGCTACTGAGAAACAACTCTTGGTTTTATTTTGAATATGATTATTATTGTTTTTCTTACTACGCTTATCAGTATTAACAGTAATCTGTTTTCGGAACGTGATAATTACAAATTTTGTTATTACTATTTATCAATACTCTCTTTATTGTATGTATTAATAGTTGTATTATCCGTCCTACTCCTTATCATTCATCATGTTTGTACGTTTGTTGTTAATTATTATTGTTACTCTTACTCTTACTCTGATCATTAATCTTATTATCTTTTCTATGGTTATTAGTCTTATTGCTCGCACTTCATTATTATTGTTATTATTATTATTATTATTATAATTTCAAGTCCAAGTTGGATATCACCAGAGACGGGGTACGGGAATTTGAGATTTCCCAACCATCCTGTGGTCTTGGGTCGATCCGACTGTCGTCGTCCCTCCTGCCCCCATCGCTCCTTGTCAAGCGATCCTCGCGGCAGCGCGGCGGCTGTGCGCGCCCCTCCGGCCGAGGCCAGGGGGGCCCGCCGTTGCGCCCTCTCGGGGCACGGGGTGGCCGAGGCCAGGCGCGGTGGCGGTGAGCCCAGACATGTGACGTCCTCTGATACGCCCGGTGTGCGGTCTTCGGAAGTTCCCATCTCGACGGCGAGGGAGGGGAGGGGGGAGCCTCGGAGAAGGAGAGTGCCTTCTTAGAAGGCGGCGGAACTAGTCAGAAACCCTCGCGCCTTCTGAGAAGTGCTCTGTGTTTTTTGGGGAGGCTCAAGACACTTCTTAGGAGGCTGGGGGGGCTTCCGAGCCTTCTGATGAGGCCCGCCCCTGCTCACTTCCTCCCCTCGCTCGCCGCCGACCATCCTTCCGCGAGGACCGCGTTTCATCCCGAGACGCTTTGTTGATGGTCCTGGGGCCCAGTAGTATGGGCCCCCAGAGGCGGAGAAGTGGGAAAAAGAACTCCGTTCTGGTTTGTGTCAAGACGTTGCATGTCTGGGCAGTTGCCCTTCTGCGGAGAAGCACGCGCTCGACGGGCTGCACAGGGCCTACGCGGAGCTCGACGGGCCGCCGCCACTGTGCCCGGCGCTGCTGTGCGCGTTGGCGATGCAGCGCAAGCTGCCGACGAGCTGGGGCCTCCTCGCCGGCAGGCGCAAGGAGCACATCGCCGAGGCCAGAATTCTTGCACACGATATCCTGATATCCTGGAGTCTCGAGCTTTTCGATCAAGGGAGGAAAAAACACCCGGACCCGACAGTTGGCGTTCACTAAACGGCCTTCTGCCTTGTTCGACTCCTTCTTTGGGCTCGTTTACTAAACGGCTTCGCTTGTCGGGATCATTAGTATGGGCGTGGATTTTCTTTCCTCTATTTGAGCCGTGCGTTTTCGCCCATGTTCCGGCCACGCGACCCTGACAGATCGATCCGGCTCAAGAGATGCAGCAGAAAGATGGGATCAAGGGCCCGGGTCGTGATGTTCGCAATGTTGCATGCTTTTCGAGTCGTTGGACGGCAGGGTCTCTCAGCGGGCAGGCAACATGGTTCATGCACTAGTGGGGCTGCCTCCTGCAGGATCCTGCAGAACCTCATGGGCTTGTTTTCCACCACCACCACCATAAGTTGGAGAGGGAAGGAGGTGAAGGACGAGGAGGAAGAGGAGGAGGACGAGGAGGAGAAGGAGAAGGAGGAGGAGGAGGAGGTGGAGGAGGAGGAGGAGGAGGAGGAGGAGGAGGAGGACCCCCTCACCCTCCAACGTATGGTGGTGGTGGTGGTGGGAAACAGGCCCATCAGAACCGGATTCGGACTGAGCCGCGGTTGGGAGCCTCTCGCGGCCCTGGAGGCGGCCCTGGAGCCGCTACCCCACTTCAGAATAGTTACGCCAGAAAAAATGATTGAGCCGGGTCTGGGGCGCCCCCCACAACGTTGCAGCAGCTCATCTGTTTCCAGATTGGCTCCGGCTTGTTATGGTCCACGCCCGAAGATCCACCGCTTGGCTATGGCATCTTCGCGCCGTGGAGTCGCGCTGGGAGGCATTTGGCAACTCCCGGCGTCTCGGGGCCCTCGCCGGGCCCTGGCAGCGGTCCCCGGGAAGGGGAAGGGAGTCCACGACGAAGCATGACGTCGCGGGTCCTGCGCGAAGTCCGAGGCACTCGGGAGGCGACAGACGGCCACACGCAGCCAGGGGCGTCGGCCCCCCACCCCCCGGGCGGGAGAGCTCTGGCCTCGGGAGCGTCCGCCAGTTCCGCCGGTCGGGGCAGTTTGCGGAGCTGGTCCGCGTCTTCCGGGGCTTCGTGGAGCAGGTCGTCGTGCCTCTGGTCGGGGAGGACGTCGCGTTCCAGTCGCCGCCGACGCTGCGGTGCCAGCTGCCGAGCTCCCGGCCGCTCGGGCACCGGCACCGCGACGACGAGTACGAGGGCCACCAGGCCGCCTCCATCAACTTCTGGCTGCCGCTGACGCGCGTCTGGGGCCCGAACACCCTCTGGGTGGAGAGCGAGCCCCACGGACCACCGGCCGCCCGAGGGGCCATGGGTTCGGGCGGCGGGGTCTAGGCATCCGGCCCTGGCCAGACCCACATCCTGAGCCCAGGGGCGGCGTTCCAAGACATGCAACGTCGTGGCACAAATCAGGACAGAGGTTTCTCTGAAGTTTCGGCCTCTGGGGGCCCTTACAGGGTCCCAGGACAGTCAAAAACAACTCGGGATGAAACGCTGGCCCTGGGGAAGGGGTCAGGACTTCCGGGGACCGCGTATGGTAGAACATCGGACATCGCATGTCTGGATTGTATGCCTCCCCGACCGAGACAGGGGGCGGACACACCGCATCGTTGGCGCAGGATGAGCCTGGCCTGGGGCAGTGAGTGTGTACAGGTCCCGTCGCCCAGAGGCTGCGGCCCAGGAGCAACACACGCAGACCCCCAGGAGGCGAATTACAGTAAGACGAGCGGCCGAAGAGGCCGAGAGCCAGCCCGCCCTAGCAGCTCTGCTTGTCCTGCTTCTGGACGGCAGGGGCGCCGACGGGAGCGCGGGGGGGGGCGGCCTTTCGGCGGTGCCGCTGGGCACGGGCGCTCAACCACCGGCATCGGGTCCCGTGCAGGCGGCAGAAGGCAGCAGCAGCCACGACGCCCGCAGATAACCGCAAGGGACACAATTGAGGAGGGGAACAAAAATAACAGACTTAAGTCATCGCCGACTCCCAGGAATATATAGGAAAATATGGGAAGTGGGGGGGAAGACGAAATCCCAGAAACTATAGGAAAATATGGGGGATCCTGGGATCTGTGTCTACTTGTCTGTGTGTGTGTGTGTGTGGCCCTGGGCCTCTGTCGCAGTGCAACCGCAGTCGCTCGAGGGGGGGACCGGCGCGGGTTCGGAGGCGGCGACCTCCTCCTCCTCCTCCTCCTCTTCCTCCTCCTCCTCCTCCTCCTCCTCCTCCTCCGCCTCCGCCTCCGCCTCCGCCTCCTCCCTCTTCCTCCGCCTCCTCCTCCCTCTTCCTCCTCCTCCTCCTACTCCTCCTCCTCCTGCTCCTCCTCCTCCTCCTCCTCCTCGTCCTCCTCCTCCCCCGACTCCGGGGGGGGGCGGTCTGGTGTGGGAGGGGCTTGATGCTAGCTGTCTTGGAGGGTCTCAGGGTGTCTGTGCAAAGGGCCGCCCTTCATGGCTGGTCTGGGGGGGGGGGGCTGGGGGCTGGGGGGGTCTGAAATTGCTTGTCTTGGGGGGTTGTGACTCGCACTTCTCTCTCATGGCATTCGGAGTATCATGCTCTTCCTCGTGCAGGGGGGGGGGTCTGCGTGGCCGTTTCTGAGTTCCTCCGGGCCCCCCAGGGGTGGCCTGTGGGCCGTGGCGCAAGCCGCACGCGGGCGACTTCGCGCCCGTGGAGCTCGAGTACGGGCAGGCCCTCCGCTTCAACGGCGGGCAGTGCGAGCACCACACTATCGCCAATACGACAGACGCGACCCGCGTCTCTCTCGACTGGCGCGTCGTGCCGCTGAGCTGCTGGCGCGACGAGTTCGGGGGGCGCATCGGGTCGTACCCGTGCGAGGTTACCGCCTGCTTCGCGGCCACAGCGCCCCTTCACGGGCGCGGGCTCCCGGAGCATGCCGCGCCGTGAAGGAAAAGAGTCGATGGTTCGAGTAGGAGGGCGACCACAGAGCTGATGTACCCCAACATCGAAATTGTCGTCGAAATTACAAACAAGAAGAACGCGCGTATATCGATTGAGATTTTCCCAGACAGGGCATGGGCCCATGGGGGGTCCTCGTTTAGCTGTCTACTCCGGAATCGACTTAAGGTGGGCCGGCGGAATTATTCCCTATCAAAAACGATGTCGAGGTGGGACGGCGGAATCTTGTTTGAGGATGTCTCGAACGAAACGCGGGTTTTTGAATTCCCGCTCGATAGATAGCAAGGTAAAGTGAGATTTGTCGTTTGTTGCGGATGTCTCGAGCGAAACGCTGGTTTCCAGAATTTGTTGAGGATGTCTCAAGCGAAACGATTGTTTTGAAGACTTCCAGGAAACTGGGCGCCCAAGGATGCCCCAGGGGGATCTTGGACTGCGGACGCAGCGTAATTTACGATGACTCGTGGTCCTGGGAGCGCGGCCGCAAGATAATTTGCAAGGGATCGTGGCCCTGGGAGCTCGGACGAATCGTAATCTACAAGGCATCGTGGCCTTGGGAGCGTGAGCCCCGTGTGATTTACGAGGGATCTTCGCCCTGGGAGCGCGAATCCAGTGTAATTCACAAGGGATCTTGGCACTGGAAGCGCGAAGCCTGTGTAATTTTCAAGGGATCGTGGCCCTGGGAGCGTGCATCCATATTAATTTAATAAGGATCGCGGGCCTGGGAGCCCAAATCCATTGGAATTCGCGAAGGCTCTTGGCACTGGGAGCGCGAAACCCGGGTCATTTACAAAGGATCGTGGGCCTGGGAGCGCGCATCCAAGGTAAATTACGAGGGATCGTGGCCCTGAGAGCGTGCATCCGATGTAATTTGAAAGGAGTTGCGGTCCTGTGAGCGCGAACCCAGCGTAATTTAGAAGGAATTGTGGCCTTGAGAGCGCGAGTCTGGTGTAAATTATGAAGGATCGCGGCCTTGGGTGCGCGGACGCAGTGTAATTTACCAGGATTCGCCGCTTCGGGTCCAGCGCCTGATTTTCAGGAAATGGCAGGGGGCCGAAAAGCGTCCCCCGAGTTTTGTCCCGAACAGAAAAGTATTGTTTTCTGCTCTGGAGATCAATTTTCGGGTGGTGTCGGGCCTCACTCAGGGAGCTTCCCAGGGGCGGGAGTCTTCGCTATAGGGCCTCTGGGGGCTTCCCCCGGCAGGAGTTTTCGCGTGGTGTCGGGCCTCCGTGGGCTTCCGTTCCCGGGCGGTAGTTCTCGCGTGGTGTAAGGCTTCCGGGAAATTTTCGCGTGGTGTCGGGCCACCGGGGGCCCCCCCTCCCAGGCGGGAGTTTGCGCGCGGTGTCGGGCTTCCGGGGGCCTCCCCTGGGCGGGAATTTTTGCGCGGAGGGGGGCTTCCAGAGGCGTCCCCGGGCAGGAGTTTTCGCGTGGTGTCGGGCCTTCCGGGGCCTGCCTTCACGGGCGGGAGTTTTCGCGTCATGGGGCCTCCGTTGGCCTCCCCGGCGCGGGAGTTGGCACGTCCGCTGGCGCGTCGCCTGGCACGTTCCCTGTCACGTTCCGTGGCGCGTCCCCCTGGCACGTCGCGCGACGCGTCCCTAGCACGTCCCCTGGCACGTCACTTGGCCCGTTCCGTGGCGCGTCCCCTCGGCACGCCCCGCGTTACGTACCCTGGCACATCCCCTGGCGCGTCTCTTCGAACGTTCTGCGGCGCGTCCCCGTGGCATGTCCCGCGGCGCGCGCCCTAACGCGTCCCTTGGCGCGTCCCCTGCGCGGCACGGCACAGCGCAGCACAGCACAACACAGCCCTCGGTACGTCACCATCGATATCTTCAGCATTGCCACATCGCCCAATTGAGGTGCTTTGAAACGTTTCCATGTTTCATATTTCCATCTATCCCTTTCCAGGTTCGTGGGTCCATCATCTTTCTGCAGAAGTGGTGCACCCCAAGTGAGGAGTATTTCCGTAGGCGCGCGAACGGCGGTGTATTTAACGGCGATGCAGGTTTCGCTGTTGTGGGAGCGCGTGGCGCGTGCTCAATTCGTTGTGTCGGTCCTGTTCGATACATGCGCAGATTGGAAATGTAGGAAAGTGCGGTTCGCGATTTCCTAGAATTCGGTTTCCAACATCACAGTTAAGCAACAGCGCCGTCAGCGTGGCCGTGGTATTCCTTCGAAGCTACAAAACCATGAAAGTTATCAATATATCGACGCGCGGTCTACACCGTTTCGCGGAAAGGGCTGGGGCTCAGGGTTCTCTTTTGAGGTGTACCCTCTGGCCTCGATTTGAGACGGGCCGGCGAAATGATTCAGCGATGTAAAAAACCGAGTAAATTATGATTTTCCTGCAAAGGGCGGGGGCCCACGGTTCTCTTTTAGTAGGTTGATCCCTCCAGAATCAGCTTGAGACGGGCTTTGCGATAGATAATGAGGTCGAGACGGGCCGGCGGAATTATGTGTGTGAGGATGTCCCGAGCGAAACGTTGGTTTTTGAAATTCCGATCGAGAAAGTACCAGGTGAAGTAAACATGTTCGTTTGTTGCGGTTGTCTCGAGCGAAACGCTCGTTTAGCATGATGTGTTGAGGATGTGGGAGTGCGGACGCAGCGTAATTTACAATGCATCGTAACCTTGGGAGCGCGGACGCAGCTGAGTTTACCAGGGATGGTGGCCCAGGGAGAGCGGGCGAAGCATCATTTACAGGGGATCATGGCCGTGGGAGCTCGGACGCAGCGTAATTTACGAGGGAGTGTGGCCCTGGGAGCGTCTACGCAGCTTAGTTTACCAGGGAGCGTGGACGTTCCGCGGCGCGTCCCCCTGGCATGTCCCCTTGTCAATTAGCTCTGGGGCAGCTGCGATGTGCTTAGGCAGCTCGAGCTTATGATTTAGATCAGTTTGGTCAGGACTCAGATGCAAAGGAGGACTCGATCCACAATGCTATAGAGCACAATCGCGGTGTGGCACATTGCAAGTCAGCACGGCGCAGCGTAGCACAGCCTTTGGCACGGTACATCAAGATCGATACATACAGCCTTACAATTTGGCACGTTCCGTGGCACGTCCCATGGCGAGTCCCCCTGGCACGTCGCGCGGCGCGTCCCCTGGCGCGTCCCGTGGCACGGCCACTGGCACGTTCCGTAGCGCGTCCTTTTGGCACGTCCCGCGGTGCGTCCCCATGGACCCTTGGCGCGTCCCTTGGATCGTTCCGCGGCGCGTCCCCCTGGCATGTGCCCTTGTCAATTAGCTCTGGGGCAGACACTATTTGCTCAGGCAGGTCGAGCTTAAGATGCAGATCGGTTCGGTCAGGACTCAGATGCAAAGGAGGACTCGATCCACAACGCTATAGAGCACAATCGCGGCATGGCACAGCGCAATTCAGCACGGAGCAGCACAGCACAGCACAGCCTTTGGCACGGTACGTCAGAAAAAGGCGAGGAGGAGGAGATGGAGGAGGAGGAGAAGGAGGAGGAGGAGGAGGAGGAGGAGGAAGGAGGAGGAGGAGGAGGAGGAGGACACATTGAGAGGAGGAGGAGGAGGAGGAGGAGGAGGAGGAGGAGGAGGAGGAGGAGGAGGAGGAGGACGAGGAGGAGGAGGAGGAGGAGGAGGATGCAGAGGGCGGAGGAGGGCGACCAAAGCGATGACGACAAGCGGCCACGAGGTCGAGACGCCCGAGAGCGCGGACGCGCGCATCCGGTGGTTCTTCGCTTGGCTGCGCGAGCAGCCGGAGCGGAACGTCGCTTGCGCGGGCCCTATGAGCCCGGCATGGCACGGCTCATCCTGGCTCATCCACCTCCATCCTCCTCCCTCCCTCTTCCTCTTCCTCCTCCTCCTCCCCTGCTCCCTCGTCCTCGTCCTCCTCCTCCTCCTCCTCCTCCTCCTCCTGATCCGTCCTCCTCATTCTTTTTCCGCCTCCCTCTTCGATGCCCCCCCTCTGCTTTCAAAATGTCTCCTGCCCCCCTCCCATTCGCCCGCACACATCCCTCGGGCCATGATGCGACCCCCCCCTAGTTGTTTAAGAAACTCGTTCGCTTGGCGGCACTGTTGGCCTCTGGGGGCCCTCACCAGACTATCAGGAATGACTCGGGATGAGAAGCGCGTCTTGGGAGAAAGGCCCAGACTTCTTGGGGGACCAACCCACGAACAAGAGAGCGACGCCTACGGTCTGGCGTCTGGCTTCCCAGGCCTCCAGACGACGCGACTGCTGTCAGGTGCGGCGCTCTTCCTTCATTTCGGTGTCGGGGGGCCACCTTCGGGCCCCGGGGCCGTCAACAAAAATATTTGGGCCCCACGTCCGCCCATGTGCCAATGCGCTCGAAGAAGCGCGGCGCCCCGGAGGTGGGGGGGCGGCGCAAATGGCGCGGTCAAATGCCCAGGCGCCGGCCCGCGGTCTAGCGACGCGGCGCCCGCTGATACCAGTCCGCTCCGCGCAGGCGCATTGGCCTCGTGCGCGCGCGGGGGGGCGGGGGGCGCCCGCCTGCAGCGAAGCCCGCTCGCAGGCGACTGATTGGCAGGGCGCGTGGGCGGACGCTGGGAGGGCGCGCTGGCCCCGCCGCGCGCGCCGCGCGCGCAGGAGTGTTGCTTTGTCAGGATTGGCGTGCGGGCCTTCGCTGGCGCGCCGATTGCGCGGCGCCTTGCCCCGCCCACCGCCCTGGTCCTTGCGCCCGGGCGGCTGCTCGGCTGCGCGGCCGCGCGCGTCGGCGGAAGTCGCGCGCCGCGGGCGCCGACCAGCGGGCCTGAGGCAGCGCCGTTTGGGATCGGTGATGCAAAGTTCCCCCCTGGGGGAAGGTGTCTCGGCCTCTCGGGGCCACGTGTCGAGACCAAAGCATGTCGGAAGATGTCCACCTCCTTCCCCAGGTAGGCTTTCGGTTTTTGATCGCTGCCCCTGCGCTCCGGGACGAGAGTTTCAACGTCGACGAGTGCGACCTTGCGTCTCGGTCTCATGTTGTTGCCGCCCTCAGGGCCGTCGCCTGGCAGCCGCTCTCTCGGCAACTGTCCGTCGTTCCCATGTCCGGACTTTCCCCTTTGGCAGGTGGCGCCCCTCGCATCTTGGCAGGTCGATCAGACTTGAGCATCTGTTCCGGCATGGTGAGTGTCATGTCAGTCATGTTCCAAACTTAGCATTCCAGCACGCGCAAGTAATCAGCACGGCGTGACGTTCTGTGCGCACCTTGGGCGCTGAGTCGCGTTCCTTGCCCTGGCGCCTTCTTGATCGATGGGGTGGGCCTGCGGCGTCTTCGCAAGTGCAAGTGCGCTGCCCCTTTTCAGAGACGAGGGGGACAGGCAGCAGAAGCAGGCGGTGATGATAAGCAAAGGTCGGTACATATCAGGGTAGGACGAGGATGATGAGGGGTGCCATCAGGAGCAGGAGGAGGAGCACAAAGGAAGCAGGCGGAGGAGGGAGAGGAGCAATTGAGACACAAGTTCCTGACGAGCAGCACTCGAAATCGTTACCAGGACGAACGCGTTAAACGAATATATGTGAACACGTCTCACTGGAAGAGTTCATGGCAGGCAGTCATGCCGCAGTTAGCAGCTTTTGACGAGTGGCGTATCCTCACCGGCCCATCCCGCAACGATGCCCATGCGAGCTGTCGGGAGAAGGGACATATACACGCAGATGGTGTTGGCGACAATAATGTGGCGATGCCGATTAGCGTCCCGCCGCCCAGCCCCCCCCCCTGGAGCACGAGAAATCGTCTTTGGGAGTTTTGGAGCTCTCACCTACGTGGCTCTCTTGAGTGACCTTTCGATGCCATCGGACGCGAAACGGCGAAACGCCAAACAACACATAACAACTCTCTAGGTTTCAGAAGGATGTTGGCGTTTCGGGGGGTTCTTTGGGCCGTTCCGTGGTCACCCGGAAACGTATCCTGTTTGTCCGGTCACCCTTTCAGGAGGCGTGCTTGGGGACATGTGGACGTGTCTTGAGCTACCCAGCGCCTGCCACACTCGAGGCCACCACTGGCTTTCCAAGGCCCTCCTGGAGCCATCTTGGACGCTCTAACAGCTCGCCCCCCCCCAAGCCCCCCCCCACACACACGCCCAGATCCAGGGGACCCCTCCCCTGAACGGGAAGACGGACGTGAGAACGCTCCCTAAACCACCTACGCCCAGATGGCTGGTCAGATTAGAGTCACATCCGTCCGCTGTATTTTGTTCTCTCTCTCTCTCTCTTTCGATCCGTTTTCCTCCCTCTCTTCTCTCATCTCCATCCTCCTCATTATATTCCTCCTTAAGACTCCTGCAGGGGGAAAGCACCGAACACTTCAAGACACTGTCAGCAACGGTCTGACAGCACACGCGAATCTCCTGCATCCTCCGTCCTTCCCCCGGAGTGTGGGGGAGTGAGGAGGAGGAGGAAGAGGATTAGGTGAACCGTATTTGCTTTCTGCTTCGCATTGGCACACTACAGTAGACACAAACGAAAATAAATCTTGGCACTTGAAATGTAATGGCAAGGATGTCGTCGAGCTTTGAGCTTCCTGAGGTGCTTTGGGGCTTTGTGGGTTCCCAGGGCCATCGGGAATTTAGACAAATCCGTGGGGCACATGCTGACAGACAGGCTCCTGATGTGACATTATTATTGTATGCCCGCTCATGGCCCCTTACCTTTTACACGATTCGCGTGCGCCTTCCAAGTCTGATTGCTGCTGCTGTTGCGCCTCTGTGATGAATCCTTCTGCAGCTCTCACAGACTCGACGGCATCGCGGAGTGCAAATGGGCTAGCAGAAACGGCGCACGAGGACGAGGACGTCGGCAGAAAAGATATCTATACAGATCCAGCGCTCCCGGCCAGGCCCATCCTTGGCCCAGGAGAAGTGCGCATGCCTCCCTGGCCCCAGTGGGCGTAGACACCGCTCCTGGGCCAAGGACGGGCCTGGCCAGGTGCGGTGGATATGTAGAGATCTCGCCGCCCTGGGACGGAAATGATCGGCGGCGAGCTTGGGGGGGAAGTGAGAAGGGGCGGGCCTTCTCGGAAGGCTTGGAAGTCCCCCAGCCTTCTGAGAATGGGTCGAAGCCTCCCCAGAAGACACAGAAAACTCCTCAGAGGGCGCCAGGCTGAGAAGTCCCGCCGCCTTCGGAGAAGGCCTTCTCCTCCTCACTGCCCCCCGGCGCGCCGCAGAACGACGAGGACGAGAACGACCACGAGGGCGAGAAGGACGACGAGGACGACGCGCGGTGTCCGCGGCGCGATCCGGCCCTCCCCCCGGTGGCGCCCGCCTGGCGCGGGGCTGCCCCGAAGGCGTGGCGCACTTCCAGATCCTCACGAGGCGCCCTCCCCCCCTCCTCCCCCTCCCCTCCCCCTCCCCTCCTCCTCCTCCTCCCTCCTCCTCCGCCTCCTCCTCCTCCTCCTCCTCCTCCTCCTCCTCCTCCTCCTCCTCCTCCTCCCGCCCCCCCCGGGGCGGGCCTGCCGAGCAGGAGGCTTTTGATGGCGCGCCCAGGGGGGAGGTGAGGAGGAGAATCGGAAGGCCCTCTCAGAAGGCGGCGCGGCTTCTCAGAAGCCCTCCTGCCTTCTGAGAAGTTTTCTGTGTCTTCGGGGATAAGCTGGGGAAGCTTCTCAGTAGGCCAGAGGGCTGCCTGAGCCTTCTGAAAGGGCCTTCTCTTTCTCAGTCCCCTCCTCGCTCGCCGAGCATCCCTCCTCCGATATGTCGGGCCCCCCGGTGCGGTGACTGCACCGCGTGGGTCACCGCGTGGTTTCCGGGGGTTCGGACGCTTTCGTCTGATCCTGCGCGTTTTCGTGCCTCGGAAGGCGTCCCAGCGGCTGCGCCTTGCCGAGGGCGTTCCGGGGCTGTCGGAGTCGTCCCGACCCACCGCACGAGACCCAGGTTATGGCCCCGAGACCAACCATTCGGAGGAAGGCCTGCTTGTAAGCGCATGCGCGCCCAAGGCGGCCTAGAGAGCTGGGGTGCCGTCGTCAAGCGTCTCCAGATCGAGGCTGGCTCTTACTTTGGCGAATGTTGGAAGCGCGCATGCGACAAGCGTGACAACAAGGGTATTGGCAAAGGTCCATACAACCCGCTTGCCAGCGAGGACTTTTTTCTGAAAGTTCATGGCCGATTTGTGGTATTGGAACTTCGACATCAAGAAATACTTCCGGTGGGAAGGTATCCACGTGGACTGGGACCAGGTCTGGCACAACCAGCAGGGCGAGAACACGTGCAGGCAAGAGACGCGGGAGCGCGAGGCCGCCGAGCCAGGCAAAGGGCGCGATGAAGGCGGCAAGCCCGGTAAGCGCCGCGTTGACACTGCTTGGGACGACGCCCGCCCTCGGCGCTAAACACCTGCACCACCGCAGCCACCACCACCCGGCTGCACTTGGCACCTCTACGGCGCGTGCTTCCCGCGGGCACCGCGCCCTTCCACACATGGCCCTCCTCCCTCTTCCCTCCCCCCCTCGCCATAGCGTCGTTCCTCCCTTTGGGACGTGCGACGCCGCCCTTCACTGTTCCTTGCAACACTTCGGTGCTCCCTCACTCTTCCGCCGCGACAGACCGCTCTCCATGATGCGTGTGGCCTTTCCTTTCCGCACCTGGCTTAACACCTCCTCGATGCCCTTCCTCACTTCTCCTCCTTGCGACGTACCTCCCGTTTGGGACGCGCGTCGCTCACACCCTGTCCCTTGCGCCACTTCGGTGCTTCTTTGCTGCACCACGCTGGACCGCCGATTGGGCCGCCCAGCGTCGTTACCCGGCTTCTGCACCTTTCGGTGCTCCCCGCCACCGCCCCCTCGCGACGTACCTCCCGTTTGGGACGCGCGTCGCTCACTCACTGTCCCCTGCACCATTTCGGTGGTTCTCTGCTGCACCACGCTGGTCCGCCCATTGGGCCGCCCTGCGTTGCTATCCGGCTTCTGCACCTTTTAGGTGCTCCCCTCTTTCCACGGCAGCCCCGCGCTGCCCCCTCCCGTTGCGCTGCTGCTCCGCCCCGCCGCCAGCGGGCGCTTGGGGCGTTTCGCTCGCTGCCACCTGCCCCGCCCCTTCTCTGCCCTCTGGCCACCTGACGCGTCCTTGGGCGGTCACGCCGCCATACCCCTGTCACTCCCAGCCATCTCGTGGCGTTGCCACCTCCTTCCAGCCGCCCTGCGTTTCCTCCTCCCGTTGCGTTGCTGTTCCGCCCTGCCGCCTGCGGGCGCCTGGGACGCTTCGCCCGCCGCCTCCTGCCCCACCTTTCCCGGCCCTCTGGCCACCTGGCGCGCTCTTGGGCGGTCACGCCGCAATACCCTTGTCACTGGCAGCCATTTGGTTGCGTTGCTCCTGCCTCCGCACGGTTCAGTGCTGTGCCCACTCCTCGGCGCGCCGCGGTGCTTTCGAGGTGTCCCGCTGCGCCCGCCCGCCAGCTCCAGCTGCTGACAGCCGCCCTCGCCACCGTGGTTTGCCACGGCCGCCCACCGCGGTCTGGCCCTGCGCGCCTGGCTGCTGCTGCCCCTCCCGGCTGCTCATCGTCGAATTCTTCGACGTCTGAGCGTCCCTTGTTCCTCTCGGCCGTCCCCCCCCTCTTTCTTTGCCTGGCGGCCAATTCGCTAGTGAGTGCCACACGCCTAGCTTCTCGCTGGAGCGGCGTTCGCCGCTTCGCCGCGGACGAGAAAAACAGTGTGGTGCGTCAAGGGGGATCCTGGGTCACTGCACGGTGTTGTGGCTTGGGTGGCTCTCCGAGGACGTCTCGGGCGACTGGGACCTCCAGGGTCCGCAAGCCGTGCGGTGGCGGACCGTGCGGTGAGGTCCTTCGGAACGCCGAGGTCACAGCACGGTTTGCGACTGCACTGTTCGGGGACCCCCATTGATAGGCCGCCGATGTGTTTCATGTTTGGGAAGTTGTTGGGACTTCTTGTCGGTTCCTGGAGGTTTTCTCGCCTCTGGATGCTTTCCAATCCTTTCCAGCAGGTGCGCCTTGCTCGGAGCGCTCCAGGGTTGCCCGAATCGTCCCGAGCGGCCGCCGGGGTCCCGAACTATTTTCCGAAAGCTCTGATTTCAGATTAATCACGCGCTCCCAAACAATATTGTGGTGTTGGGCCCTCGTTTTGAAGAGACAGTCCCCGCGTCTTCTCCTCCTCCTCCTCCTCCTCCTGCTCCTCCGCCTCCTTCTCCTCCTCTCCTCTTCCTCCTCCTCCTCCTCCTCCTTTTCCTCCTCCTCCTCCTCCTGCGCCTGCTCCTTCCCCTCCTCCTCCTCTTCCTCTTCCTCCTCCCCTCCACTTCCTCCACTTTCCTCCTCTTCCTCCACCTCCACCTCCAGCTCCTCCTCCTCCTCCTCCTCCTCCTCCTCCTCCTCCTCCTCCTCCTCCTCCTCCTCCTCCTATTCTCCTCCTCCTCCTCCTCCTCTTCCCTTCACCCCCGTCATTTTGGCACACCCGTCACGCGTTTCGTGGCCCTTAGAGAGCTCCACCGACGGCCTCAGTGGCATGGTTCGCATGACGCCCCCACTGGAATTTGGCACACTCCTCACGCGTTTCTTCTCCCCCCAGGAAACCTCATTGAATGCCCCAGTGGCATGGTTCGCATGCCGCCCCCCCTCCAGTTTGGCACATTCATCACACGTTGTGCCCCCCCCCCGCAGGGAGCTCCACTGAAGGCCCCAGTGGCATGGTTCGCATGCCGCCCCCCCCCTCCACTTTGGCACACCCCGCACACGATTCGTGGCCCCATAGGGTGCTCCACTGAAGGCCCCAGTAGCATGGTTCGCATGCCGCCCCCGTCCACTTTGGGATACCCCCTACGCGCTTCGTGGCCCCATTGGGAGCTCCACTGGAGGCCCCAGTGGCATGGTTAACGTGCCGCCCTCCTTCTATTTTGTCACACCCGTCACACGTTTCGTCGCTCCACGGGGAGCTCTACCGAAGGCTCCAGTGGCATGGTTCGCATGCCGCCTCCCCTGCACTTTGGTACACCTTCCGCACGTTTCGTGGCCCCATAGGGAGCTCCACCGAAGGCCTCAGCGGCATGAATTGCATGCCGTCCCCCATCCACTTTGGCACACCCCTCACACGTTTCGTGGCCCTATATGGGAGCTCCACTAGAGGCCCCAGCGGGAGCGACCGCATGGCGGCCCCGCCACATTACATGTCACCCTTCGCGCGCTTCGTGCCCATCGGGAGCTCCACCGAAGGTAGTTCACAACGGCGGTATTCACAACTGCATATGGTCGGGCCCTTCGCAAGGATAATTTTCAACCTGGGCATTTCTCTTCGATTTCGGCCTCGGAGGACCATCCAAGGTGGAACGGGGACGGAGTTCTGGGGCCAGGTTGAAAAAGTCATATCGGAGGATGTCTGAATCCCTCCTCCATCCCTCCTCCTTCCCATTATCCAGAGGCGAAGGCAGTCGCCAGTGTAGGTATGCACTTCTTGGTTGCCCCTGCGGACTGCTCTGTCCACTTGCTGTCATCCTCAGCACTCGTTGGCCGCGACGCCACCGTCCAGGACCATCCCCTCTCCCTCGTCCCCTCCCTCATGAGCCTTCCTCTTTCCTCCTTACCTCCTTCCTCCTTCCTCCCAGTCTTCCTCCTCTTCACCCTCCCTACTTCCCTCCCGTGGCCGCGACCCCTGCACCCGTCCAGCTTTAGGACGAGTCGCCACCGGGGCCAGCCGTGTAAGCATGTCAGTTCCGGTGTGCAACTAAACATCTACCAGCGACATTCGGAGGGCCGATCCGGCCGTCACGGAATCGGTGCGGGAGGGGCTGGAGGAAGAGGCCGGTTGAGGAGGAGGACGTCCACTGGAGAGCGAGTGGGAGGAGGAGGGCGACAAAGTGGTCAAGGCAACAGAAACGAGTAGGAATCCCTACCCACGAGGGCCTGCCAGAGCGGCCGGGCGCCCGCGCATTAAAGCCGGTGGCGGGACTCTGGCTGGCCCTGCTGTTGCGCGGACCCCCAGCGTGTCAACACATTTCCCCGTCGTGCCGAGTCTCTCGGCATCCTTCTTTGTGGCTCTGTACTTCTGGAGGTGCTGGTTGATCTCACTCACAACTTTCTGATGTACTGCCGCCTGGACTCGTCCGCTGTCCGCCAATTTTCACATCATCCTCTGCGGGTGGCTTCGCATTGGTCCGCCATGCGTGTAGTTGGAAACCTGCGCAAAGGAAAAAACAATCACCACCTCCACCCTCATCCACTTCGTCCATGCAGGAACGCCAAGGGGGACGGGGAAGAGGGCCAGCACCCCCTGGAGGAGGGGGTCTACGTTCGCCCGGCAGAGGACCTGCATCTCCTGGAGCAGGATGGTCCATCAGGTCGTCGCCCGGGGGAACTGCTGGTTCCTGAGTTCCAAGCTTCGGGGCTT